GGACAATCCAGGGACAGACTCTTCTACAGTACATCCACACTATTGGGACAATCCAGGGACAGACGCATTTACAGTACATCCACACTATCGGGATGGACCCAGGAAAGGTACAGTATATGGGAATCAAGCAAACGCAACTTTGCCTTTCCAGTAAACCTACCTGACAGGTGTCCTTGCCTCCTGCCTCGTACCCGGCACACAGCATCTCTGGCAGGATGACGTAATGTTGCTTTAACATCTTCTGACACTCCAAGTTGTCTATGATGGGGAGCCGGACTTCCTGTAGCGTCTCAGGTTCAGACAGAGAAACTGGAAGGCAAGGAAGACACTCAGAGACAGAGAGGAGAGTCTGATATCTCAGTCCGCACCTCCACATCTGATCACACGCACTTCAGCACCCTTCCTGACAGAATGCAAGGGGACAATTGTGCCTGAACTACGGTCAGAAAAGTAAACACCCTGGCGCCGAAACCTGGGTGGCACTGAAAGTGTGTGTGTGCAATTTTCCCAGTTTTCCGAAACCAGCAACATCTCCTACCAGAATTTCCGACGTTTCCCCACCCTGTGGCCCAGCAGTCCCACTTGGCAGAGATGTTGTTGGAGGCCTCGGCCAGGGCGACGGGCTTGACGTACTGGTTGATGGTGGCAGTCTCATTCAGCTCTATCAGGGCGACATCAGACCCTCCTTCGACATCATAGTACCTCTCATGCTTGATGATCCTCTTCACTGAGTGAGTTTGCTGGTACTCATTAGAATTCGACAGCTGATAGCCTCCCAGCGTGATACTTGATTCCCACCAGTTCAAGGGGCTGCAAAGTAGGGGACAACTGTTGTAGTGGGAGACCTCTGAGGACAACAGGGTTGCCACTGTAGGAGGTGCCCTTGGACCATTAGGTGGTGTCCTTTCCACCTGACCAGTCTTTCCAAACCATTTCCCCAGTATGGTGATAGAGAAAGCCATGAGGTACACTGGGTGAAATCGTAGTTCCAGGTCTTGGCTACTAAGTCATTACAGGTCCTGCAGTGTCCTGA